TGGGTTACCTGAACTTTGCGGCTAATTTTTATATTAGTTCTCCATCTTGGAGAACTAATTTAATAATATTTAATCGTAATTTAATCCACAGTATCTTTGATCATATCTGATAGTTCATCAGAATTAAAAATATGTTTGTGCATCTTTTACCACTTAACAGTAAGGGAGCACAGTGCTTATAGATATGCATTTCAAATTTTTGAAATGATACATATTACATTTGTGATAGATAAATTTAATCCATTTATTAGGTAAGTTGAAAATAATTAACTTTTAGTGGAGCACATTAATTAATAAGACCTTAGCTGATTCCAATTGGTATTTATGGGACTCTATCTAAGGCTCTTATGACACAGTAGATCCAATATTTAACTAAACATATGATGAGATGAAGGTTTTCAATGAAGCCACTGGTAATCAAAGCAATGAAAATAACAATGGGAATACCTTAAGCACTGCTCCCTTGTTGGCAAAATAAAAATTCTTTATTGCTGAAAAAGTTACTGTATTCATATTGGAATAAAATTAAAGGATTGAATTATAGACTACTAATCATTATGGTTATATCTGATATAGATTTGAGCCTTGATCAAAAGCCTTTATTTTAACATAAGATTGCAGACCTTTGATTACCTATCATTCCAAGAATCAGAATTCAATTTCTTTTCTTAGTCTCTGTGCCTGTGAGCCTCAGGGCTTCTTGGGTTGTTGGGCTTTCTAGCAGGAAGGGTCAGGCCCTCCTCCGGGAATATGCTTAGAGACGAGAACTTGGGGCTGGTTCCCCTTCGTCCTGGCTTAAATATTACTTGCCTTACCTCAGTATTTCATAATGTGAAACTCATAATTTATTGTTCAATTTACTTTAGAATTTTTCTTTTCACATTATAGCTTTTCACGTTACTTGGCATTTAGCTACTCTTCCTTGGTGAGACACAAGCCTTTTTCCTCTAGAGATTTTAAGGGAAAAAAAGTGTTTCAGAGAGATTACCTCATTTGAATCTATTCCAAATATTCTAATTAACTAATCTATAATGAACCTACAGTGTCTTTCATTTAAAATACTGATGATTTAAAAGTCATAGATTGTGTCTACACATAAATGAGATAAGTATTTTTCTGTTAGAGTAACCCAAGAGATATCTGAAGAATTAAATTTCTGCCCAAGGTAGAGTATGTGTTCAGTTGGTATCGAGTCCTCTAGGCATGATGTTTTATGTCATATCCTTCATTTCTTGTAAACAGTTATGAAAGTTCTCAATTTACTGGGATGGGGGATAGATATAGATAAAAATATGGGGACATATTTTTAATAAGGAAAGAAGTGGACTTAGGTGTATGCTTTTTTATGATAGTTGAATGACTGAAAGATTGAAGAGGTTGGCTTCTGACTGTGAGTAAGCTCTGTCATTGGTTTTTCCATGAAGTTAAATTTCAGCATTGTTTTTATTAGGTACAAAGTGTAATAGCTGGGCACATGAAGGTTATCATAAATCTTCAATCACACTAAAGTACTTACGGCTGCTCTGCCATAATTGAGGAAATTTTCATGTAACAAATTTCAATGTTGGTACATTTTTGTTTACTTGTGTCACAAATAAGGGACTTGTCCAGGTTCATTTCCACTAATCAGGTCAATTTTTACAAAGACATGCAAAAGTAGTGTCTTTGTTTTTCTATGAAGAAATCTTCCAGCAGGGAAGAACATTTAAGTACATTTCTACATTATGTTTAAGCATCTTTATATTTTGGTTATCTGCTTTGGATAGTGCCATACTTCTCTAATGACTGAGATAATGACAAGGCTATGTGGAACTGAGGAAAGTGTAGCCTCTAGGAACAATTTCTATATCCATGGATCAGCTACCCATTTCCATGTGTTTTATGATCACACATACATGACTAAGGTATCTACATGAACATTTAGTGAAAGAAACATTGCTTTTCTGGACAATGATGTGAATATTTAAAACACACTGATGAGCAACATTCATTGAAAATTCCTGTGACATGTTGAAATGTAGCTAATGTCTTAAATACCATATGATTTTGTTGAACGAATTCTAATTGGGAAAGTTGAGCTAGCAAACATGAAAATCTTTCAGTATACACAACATATATTTGGTTTTAATATAAAGCCTATTTTTTTCCTTTTCTATTTGCCAAATAAGAAGAAAAACACATTCCATATTACACATATAATAAACCAATTGATTTATAATCATAATATTTGTTTAAGGGATGTTATATTTCATATGATTTATTAATAAAGGTAAACAATCACTTTGAGATATATTTGATTATAGAGTTTAAAATTGTAGATCATGTCAAGTGTGTTAGAATGTGAAGGAACCAATGCCTGTTATGTTCTGGAAGCATAATAAAGGTTTTTGCTTATAAATCTAAAAACAATCCCAGCAAACCTACTAGAAATATATGTGCTCAGGAATGTACCTAGTCTACTGTCATTTAAATAGATTTATAAAATTGTGATGGTGAAATATAATATTGTAGAGGTTTTTTTAATGGGATTTTATCTTTAGAAAATGTCATGTTCTTAGGAAATTATGTTAAATTATTTTTTCTAGAAATATGTTAACTTAGCATTTTACATTGAAAGCCTAGTAATGCTATCTTTCAGTTTCGAAAGTATTTTATATTTAATTACTTAAATTATAGAGGATAGTTTACATACCAAATTTTTAAACAGTGAACATTTAAATTGCTGAAAGAATTATTCTGTTGAAATCTGGTTTTGATGATGGAAGAGGGAAAAGGCAGTAAATCTTGTAGCAAGTAAGGTGTGAAAAAATAACAGAATTGGCTATAGACTACACTATTCCCTTGTGTTCTTTGGCAGGTGTGTCTCTATCAATCCATGGCTTCAACACTGACAGAACTCGAATCAGCTGGAAGCGGTAATGTGAATGGGACATGTGGAAGGTTCATCACAGCTGGCTTTTAGAGACAGCTCAAACTCTCTCTGCACACGTCCTATTCCACTGCTAGAGTTATGTAAATGAAATCATCCTGTCTACATTTGAGGCTTAGTATTTCTGCAGTTTTCCTAAGCAGTGAGTAATCAGAAAGTTTGGGTTTGTATCTCTACATCTCATTGTTCTCTGTAATTTAAGTTTTTCCTTAGCTGCCAGATCTAGAGACTTTAAGAAGCAATGTGTTTGTTTTTCTTTTAATTTTTCTCTTATCATTTTTTTTTTTTAACAAGATCCTGTCTGCGTTTGTTATGGCCATCCTAAAAAGCCTCCTGAGTCACCCCAGGAACTCACAGGAGGTTGCACTTCCAGTATTTCTTTGCTAAAAGGAATCTCTCTGAAGAAGATTTTAAAAGAATACTGGCCTCACTTAATTATTTCAATCTTGTGAATACTCAGTTATTAACTACAACTTGTCTGCTTTTGATTTTATCCTTATTTTCATTTCTTGAGCTATCCCTGATGGTAGGTCCAACTTTTTCACCATAATTCTGGTTGCTTCTCATCAAGATACATTTCATCACATGTAAAATTACTACCCATATAATTAGATCATTATTTACTAAGGCATACAATTTTATTTTGTGCCCCCAAAAGGCTTTCCTGAATTATAGGTATCTTATCCATTTTTTTTTTCCTGGAGTATGTCTATAAATATTTTCAAATTGACAAAGCTCTGCATGATTTGTTCTGATTCTATGTTCACAGTGACAATCAAGAATACTAATAATGGCTATCATATATTGAGCCCTTCCCAGGTGCCAGCCAGCATTCTAAGTACTTAACTTAGTTTTAATAAAATAACAACTCTAAGGGGTAAGGACTATTGGGATACCTATTCTAAAAATGATGATAGTAAGGGACAGAGATGTTTAGTAAGTGGCCAGAAATCTCAAAGAAAGTAGAGAAGCTGAGGTTGTAGCTGAAGCAGTGTGGATCCAGTGTCCACATTATTCACCACATGCTACACTTTCTCTCTAAGGATGTCTTGGATCTTACATAGGTAAGTACTGTGTGAGAACCTTATAGTCACTATTTACTCACTGTAGTCATGAAACCCCCATGTCCCACTGACTACCATTTTTCATGTAAGAGTCATGAGCTTGGAAATGTTTATTTAATTCTAAATTTATAAAAAATGAAAAAAATAGTCAGCAGAATACCATAAAGGAGAGGCACACTGTTAATTCTGCAGACAGTTGCTGAGAAAGGATTCTGAATTTCTCAGATTTAATCCCATTATTTTCCAGTGAGCAAACTGAGACAGATTTGTAAATGTATTCAGAAAATGACTGAAATCCATGCCTTTTTACACTAAACTTGGAATTTCTCTTAGAATTTAATTCTTTTTGGAATCTGGTAACTAAGATTCTATTTTTGAGTGCTCTTGGTATCTAAATAGTGTTATAAACAAACTATGTCCCACTGTTCTGTACCTCTTTCTACAGTGTCTATTTTCTCCTCTCTCACCCCCTAGCTTATCCCAAGAATTCAGAAAAAAATACTCATGGCACAATTTGGTAGTTGGTGATAGTCATGAGTTAGTTCACTTGAGTTCAAATTAATTGCTGAAAATTAGAATATTGTATGTAATTGTTGCAAAAATTGGAATATAGAAAAGGATAAAATGGAGAGAATCATAGCTCTTAAGGTGGACAGGGAATCAGACCAAGTAATTGCTACAGGGAGCAATGTAATGATATTATTTATTACATTGTTTTTTCATATTATTTATTACATTATTTATACATTGATATTATTGATATTTATACAATGATATTTATACATTGATATTATTGATATTTATACAATGATATTTATACATTGATATTATTTATATTTATACAATGATATACATTGATATTATTTATATTATTTATATTTATACAATGATATTATTTATTACATTATTTATACAGTTCAGAGTCCTGTATTCATTTAATGAAAGACTAATGAAGACTGAATATCCTTCCAGGCATGAAAGAATGAAGGTCTCACAGTAGAAGGCCAGAGTACTGAGTGAAATATTTCAGAAGATGTTATTCTTGGTGCTACACAGATAATATCATAAAGGTACCACCAAAACAAATAAAAACGACTAAATCTATGTCAATTTATTTATTTAGAGTTTATGCCCACCACCAGAGAGTAATTTTCTTGAGACTAAGAACCCATTGCCTATTCATTATAGCTGACTTCTCTGCCATAAAAAGTTTTAAATAAGAAGTTATGAAATGCATAAATGGGTGTTTGGACTTTAACACTTCTGTATAGAATACTTACTAAACTTAGAAGTAGAAGCCTTTACCTGTGGCTAAAACTAAAATCTATGAGGATAAACAGAATCATCAAGGGAAGATGGTCTCTTTGGATGAGAAACTCAATAGAGACTCACCTTATGTTTATTGTGTGTAAATCTCTATTCAGGATACAGTGAAGATGAGCTCTGTCACATAATGGATATAATCATATTCCTGTTCACTGTTTCATTACAGGTCCTGTTCTCTTGAGCTCTCATCTCTGATACAAGCCTGAAAGAAGAGTAAATGAGACAGAAGAGCAATATTACAGAATTTGTCCTCCTGGGCTTTTCTGAGGATCCTAATGTGCAACATGCTTTATTTGCCATATTTTTACTCACATACATTGTGACAATGGTGGGCAACCTGCTCATTGTGGTGACTATTATTGCCAGTCCTTCCTTGGGCTCCCCAATGTACTTCTTCCTTGCCTGTCTCTCATTTGTAGATGCTGTATATTCCACCACAATTTCTCCCACGTTGATTGTGGACTTATTCCGTGATAAAAAGACTATTTCCTTCCCAGCTTGCATGGGCCAGCTCTTTATAGACCATTTTTTTGGTGGTACTGAGATCAGCCTCCTGGTGGGGATGGCCTGTGATCGCTATGTGGCCATCTGTAAGCCCCTGCACTATTTGACCATCATGAATCGACAGGTTTGCATCCTTATGTTGGTGCTGGCCATGACTGGAGGTTTTGTTCATTCTGTGTTTCAAGTTGGTGTTGTGTACAGTCTCCCTTTCTGTGGCCCCAATGTTATTGACCACTTTTACTGTGACATGTACCCATTACTAGAACTGGCGTGCACTGACACCTACTTTATAGGCCTCACTGTGGTTTTCAATGGTGGAGCAATCTGTATGATCATCTTCACCCTTCTGCTAATCTCCTATGGAGTCATCCTAAACTCCCTTAAAACTTACAGTCAGGAAGGGAGGCGTAAAGCCCTGTCTACCTGCAGCTCACACATTACTGTGGTTGTCCTGTTTTTTGTTCCCTGTATTTTCATATATGTTAGACCTGTTTCAAACTTTCCTATTGATAAATTCATAACTGTGTTTTATACAGTTTTCTCACCCATGATGAATCCTTTTATATACACATTGAGAAATTCAGAGATGAGAAATGCTATAGAAAAACTCTTGTGTAAAAGTTAACTACAGTTAGAATAAAGCATTCCTCCTCATGTAGATAAGGAGGTGTGTAGACAAAGTCTTTCAAGGGAAATTTTCAGACTTCTCAGGGTAATTCAAGGATCTCAAAATAGGAAGACAGGATTGAGATGCTCCCAGCTCAATTAAGAAGTCATCCCATCATGGCATCTGTTTGAAGTTCAAGATCTCAACCTGTGTATTCACTGAGAATGGATGGGGCTGCCTGAGTGGAGCTTTTATTGTGCACATTTTAAATTATGTTTTTCACTATTACGTATATATTGAGACAGTGTATTTCTTCCATATGCCCAGCATGGAATGGGGAAAGGGAGGAATAGTAATTAAAATAGATGCTCCTGTTCAGACGGGAAGGCTATGCTGCTTCCTTCTGTGTAATTAAAGACTTTGTGGAATATACAAGCACCATATTCATAAATATTTTTGAAACTGGCCCTCGTCAGAGTTGAGGTGAAACTCTATGTGCATTCAGATAATACTCTTAAGAATCTTAGAATTATGTTTGTCTAGTTTAATGTACTTATGAGACACACCTTTAAATTTTTCCGAAGTCTTTTCATAGTGTCTTAACATCCACAAGTTTGAAATGACGTTATTTTGATGACTTCTTACTTTTAGCATTCTTAGCTCTTTGCAGAGTCTAGAAAGGGAAATCATTTTTATCTTTGCACCTAGCAAGTTCTGGCTGTTTAATATTTCTTGTAAATTCTGTCTGAAAATGTAACAATCTTCAAAGTATCTTTTTAAATCTGTCTTATAAGATACACTGCTATAAGCTATAATAAATCAATGAATCTAGGAGCTGGTTTTTTGAAAAGATCAACAAAAATAGATAGACTCCCAGACTAATAAGAAGAAAAGAGAGAAGAGTAAAATAGATGCAATAAAAAAAATGATAAAAGGGATATCACCACAGAGCCCACAGAAATACAAACTACTGTCAGAGAATTCTATAAAGACCTCTATGGAAATAAACTAGAAAATCTAGACAAAATGGATAAATTCCTGGACACATACACCCTCCCAAGACTGAATGAGGAAGAAGTCAAATCCATGAATTTACCAATAACAAGTTCTGAAATTGAGGCAGTAATTAATAGCCCACAAACCAAAAAAAGTTCAGGACAAGACAGATTCACAGTCAAATTCTACCAGAAGCACAAAGAGAGCTGACACCATTCCTTCTGAAACTACTCAAACAATAGAAAAAGAGGGAGTCCTCCCTAACTCATTTTATGAGGACAGCATCATCCTGATAACAAAAACTGGAAGAAACACAACAAAAAAAAATTTTAGGCTAATATCCCTGATGAACATCGATGTGAAAATCCTCAATAAAATACTGGCAAACCAAATCCAGCAGCCTGTTGAAAAGCTTATCCACCACAATCAAATTGGCTTCATCCCTGGATTCAAGCCTAGTTCAATATATGCAAATCAATAAATGTAATCCATCACATAAACAGAACCAATGATAAAAACCGCGATTGTCTCAACAGATGCAGAGAAGACCTTCTATACAATTCAACAGCCCTTCATGCTAAAAACTCTCAATAAACTAGGTACTGATGGAACATATCTCATATGAAAATCTGCTGAAATTCTCCCTTGGAATAGTAGAACCTTGGTTCAAGAAGGGAAAATTAAGTCCTCTGAATGACCATATGTACAAGCAACATAACCTTAAGTGCATAAGCATTTGGTTTTCAATCTCAGAGCAATGTCTGAATATTTCCTGATTCCTGTGGTGTAACTTAACCATTTGGTCAGGCAGACAAGCCTTTGATGAGGGAATGACCAAGAAATCCAGCAACAGAGAATGCTATTATGGAAGCCTTATTAGGATATAAGGCAAGATTAAAGTGGGTGCTATAGTTCCCCCCAAAAACCTAGGTTTTTACTCTTTTAAAAAAAGTAACAGCCTTTGTCTCAGGATTTTCAAGTGACAACTGGATATATGGGATGAATGACATATAATGATGGGAAGAATAATAACATATCCAAGTCAACCAAAACCAGCAATGTGATAAAGACTAAGGTGCTAGAACAAGGGCAGAAGCACTGCTTTAAATAGTCTGAAAGAGTACTTGCCAGGGTCAAATAACCACAACAGAGCTTGTAGGGTTATTACAAAGGACCAATAGCCATAGCTCCTAGTGATGTCAAATGGGTTTTCCTATATTCTACTTTTAATTACATTTTGAGATTAACTTAGCCTGTGATCCAAACCACAAATGAAAACACCATCATGCTATGGAAACCATACATGGTCTACCAGTTTGATTCCCCATATCTCACTGAATCAAAGCACAAGTTTTCTTATGGCCAGTGGGCATAAATGAGCTAAGAAGTACATCACATAGGCAGGGCATGGTGGCTCATGCCTGTAATCCCAGTACTTTGGGAGGCGACTGGGGGCATCGCCTGAGGTAAGAGGTTCGAGACCAGCTTGACCAACATGGCATAACCCCATCTCTACTAAAAATTCAAAAATTAGCCAAGTGTGGTGGCACATGCATGTAATCCCAGCTTCTTGGGAGGCTGAGGCAGGAGAATCACTTGAACTCAGGAGGCAGAAGTTGCAGTGAGCCAAGATTGTGCCACTGCACTCCAGCCTGGGCAAAAATCTGTCTTAAAAAGAATTATATTACATGGACATATTATACCCCTTACAACTCATGTAATACTGGCTTAATCAAAAGATGAATTTATATATGTAATAGATAAAAGGAAAAATCATGTCAGATGGGAAAGGGGCACAGAGATGTGTGATAACGCCTAGAATACACACTATTATTCTTTTCACATGACATTATCTTGTCTCCAGAGAATATAACTCCTGTTTCTCTCATAGGTGACATGAAGTCAGTTAATGGAAAGGAAAATGAACCCCTTCTCACTTGAACGGGAGAATTAAACTGAAGTTATTGAATGCTATGTCCAAGAATTGTATTATTTGTAGGAAAGATACAATGCAGTAAATGCTTCTGTTGATAGAATTGCATGAGAACAAACTAGAACTATAAAAAGGTGAAGATGATAAAAGATAGGAAAGAAATAGCCCATTTGGAAAACAACGTCTAAATGTGCTATCATATAATCCCTGATTTTGCAATGTGGACATTAATGCTGAGACATGGACCTTCTTGAGTTTCAACAGAAAGCTGAAACGTTTACTACATCACTCTACTGTGGCAGAAATTGAACTTCAAACTCTTTTCCAACAGCCCTTGTGCTGGCAAATTGCTGGAATTTCTTCTCACTCTTTCAATCTTTTTCCTATTTTGTGTTGAGGGGAGAGCTAAATATAGTCTCCACCTGCCTTATGCAGTTCAATAATAAGCTAACTACTTGAGGGATGAGAAATGTCATAATCAGCAGACCTGTTTTATAAGAAATGCAAGAAAAAAAGTTCCTCAGGTTGAAAAAAACAATATATGAAAATCATAATTTATAGTAAAGAATTCAGAAAGTAAATATAATACATAGGGATTAGAGATTATTTTCCTTTCTTTTCTTGTTTAATAATTGTTCAAACAAAATAACAATATATTCAGAAGTTAATAACATGCAGCAGTAAAATACAGAAAACAGTTTCAAAGTGCTATGGAATGTTAAGTGGAATGACACTTTCAAAAGAGTTTTCATTTCTATTGAGAAACAGTCCTTCCAACAGCCAGTTTGGATGTGGATCCTTCCTCAGCCGAGCCTTCATGTGAGACTGTAGCTCTAGCCAGATGATGATTATAGATTTATAAGAGACCCTGAAGCACTGACACCTGCTAAGCCATCTTTAGTTTCCTGACCTACAGAAATTGAGAAATAATAAGTACATAGTGTTTTCAGCCTAAATTTTAGCATAAGTTTTGTATGGGAACAAGTAGCTCACATATATAGAAAAATCTTCAAATATTTGGAAATTGGAAATAATTTTTTGATAACCTATGAATCAAAGTTAAAGTTATAATAGAAATAAGCAAATATTTAGAACTCAACACTAAATAAAACATATCAAAATGTGTGAGATATAATTAAAATAGCACTGAGAGGGAAATTTATAGCTATAAGTGTTATTTTAAAAATAAATGTTTGAGCCTCCATCTGAGCTTTCGCTTTAAGAAGAGTAAAATTAAATCCAAGATAAGTAAAAGAAAGGACATAATAAATATAAGATCAAAAATCAGTAATATGGGAAACATAAAATAGAGAAAATCAAAATAATCTGAAGTTATTAACTTTATAATAAAATTGATAAACTTAGAGCAAGAATGATCCAAAAGAAAAGGATTAGAAATTCAAATTGCCAGTATCAGACATTTTAAAAAATCATCTTAAAATAATAGATCCTTTAGACTTTAAAGGAATAGCAAAGGATTATTTTTAAAAAACATTATTTTAATTAATTTGACAGCTTAGATAAAAGGGTAAAATGTAGGGAAAAAACAACCTTCTAAATATGAACCCAAAGCAAATTGAAAAGCTAAACGCTCCTATATCCCTCCAAGTAATGAACTATTCTTGTTTGTATATAATATAAGAATGTCTCAAAAAATGCCAAAGAATCTACAGAGACGACAAGAAATACTTGGCAAATTTAGCACGTTTATAGAATTGAAATGCCAAATTAAAATTTCAATTGCACTTATATATACTAACAATAATAATTGAAATGTTTTAAATTAAAAACCTGTGAAAGCATCTGAACACATAAATACTTAAGAGCAGATGAGTAAGATCCATATGCTAATTACAAAACTTTTCAAACATAAACATTTAAAACACCTAGTAGATATATTGTATTCAAGAATTAGAAAACCCACCATTGTTAAGATGATAATGCAGTCCAAGATGATTTATAGATTCAACTCAATCTGAATAAAACTCCCAATATGTGCCTTTCAGATGTAGACAATTGTTCTGCACACTGCTCTGCAAAGTGACTTTCCCACTTCCCCCTCAAGGCTTATCATCCGTTTCTGTAACATTTCAAATCTGGGACGGTCATATGAACACCTGAACAACAGAAGATGGTGCAAGTGACATTGTGCCAGTTCTGGACATAGCCCTTCATTGGCCTGCCATCTTCTACTTTCTACCGTGCGTATCTCTTAGTGCCATGTAGAAAGCCTGAATATCCTGTTGGAGACCTTATGGTCCTTCATCTAAATGGACAGCAGGAAGGACTCAGTGGATCTCTTCCAGTCATCACCTCCAAGATGCTATAAATGTGAAGTAAGCTTTCCTGGACCCTACAGATGCCCCAGCTATCAGCTGAATAACACTGAGTGACATCAGTCCATGCCAAATGAAGCAGAAGAAATATTCAGCCAACCACTGCCTGAATTCCTGGCCCATACAATCTGAAGGTAAAATAAGGTGGTGATTGTTTTAAGTCACAAAAACTGTGGAGCCTTGTACAGTGCGGGAAGAGATGACCAGAATAAAGAGTGGCACCTGTAAGTGTGGTGCTTCCATAACAACAATTTAAAGCATGTGACATAGACTTTAATATCAGAAGCTAGATGACACTTAGAAGCATCTCCTGGACAGTGTAAGTGATGACTGAAAAGACGGAAGTAACTAAGGAAAAAGAAGTGACTCCTTATCTAGTGCCAGAAAGGGGTAGTGATACTGCCACATGTAATAATGTAGAAAACAGAAAGTGTACTTAAGCGAACAGGTGGGTCCAGCTAAAATTTTCAAGTACAATATTGAAAGTTCAACCTGTTTCTTATAAAAGTGTGTGATATCATAAAGCATAGGTAAAAATATGAGTTGAAAGAGTATCTTGAATTTTCTAG